ACTGTCATTTTCGTCCTCTGTCAGCTCAGTAAATGCTTGTTTCAAAAGCACATTTAGCAGTAATGATGATGATGTAATAAAGTGAAAAATCAAGAGATCCTTTATAGCTAGTTGTATTTCAGTGGGTAAGTGGACTGAACATAAAGTTGCACAAGTAGAAATTAGTCCTGTTTTATAAGCTAGAATACTTTAGTTTCCTGTGCTGGAAATGGTCAAGTTTGTTTGGATTTCACCAGATATCCTTCAACACAGAATCACTTTTGAGGGTGTTTAATTGGATATCAGGGTTAAAAATGTATATTCTATAAATAGAATACTTTTACATTTGTGGGCAGCAATAATGTGAATGTATTGTGGAACCTTAGTATCAGAAAGCCAAAATCTGAAGCAATAAATTCATGTAATCTTAACTAATGAAGTGGTTTGGTAATGTCCTAATCTGGTTTATTTCAAGTTAATATAAAGATTATTGAAATTATGGTAGCCTTTTAAAATCCTTGATTTAAGAGAGTACATGCGTTAACATTTCTGAGGGTAGTATGGTGCCAAGGAAACCATAAACTGTAATCATCATCTTGTTTGATTCTGCCACTTGGTAGACATGTAACTTCTGAAATTAAAATCTTTTAACTTTATCTGCAAAATAAGATTAAAAGCTTCCTCGTGTCAACATTAAATTATATAAAGCTCCTAGAATAGTGCAGACATATTAGTTGCACATATTTGAGGGGGTTCCACAAACAAAGCCCCCTGGTATGAGTTCTCATTAACCTTCCAACAACCTCATGAAATTCTCATTTGGCCTATTTTTCAGGTGACGAGACAGAAAAATTTGATCAAAGATGACAGAATTCAAGCCCATATCTAGAAATCAAGCTGTTGTGCTGCTTATTTTTCTCATTTGTCTGCATCTTAAAATGTGGGAAAATCTCCCTCAATGATTTTCTCCTAGTTTTATCCAGTGGCCAAGTGTCATTCAGAAGCCTCAGTCTTGACATGCACATTGGGTGCTTTTCCACTTGAGAATGCTGCCTTTGGATACCCAAAGGAGACCTGTTGGTGTAGACTCTAGAGGTTACGTCTTGGGCCAAAACAGGGCTTTCTGCTCCCATACAAGAAGGGTCACGATGAGTCTATCGACTCGATGGCACTGTTTTGTTTTTTTTATGTTAAGAAATACTGATTTATAGAATCAATGAGGTGGGACATTTATTTGGCACTAAAATCAGGATTTATTTTTTAATGGTCAAGTTAAAAAAAAGTTGAGCATTTCCTCTAAATTTGTAGGGCCTCTCACTTCTGTTGACTGAGTCAGTGGTCATAATGAAAGACATAATTCCAAAGCCTTGTTAGATTTTATTGAGTTATTCACATAAACTTGTTCCAGTTTGTTACATGTAAAGGGGCCCCCGTTTTTTCTGCCAAAGGGACCATTTGTTGGTCCAGATTTCTCCTTGTGTGGGTTTCTAAGTAATGAATGCAAAGAGGGTAATCAAAACAAGCAGCTTGAGGTCAGTCCTTCAGGAATTATGTGTTCCTATAGTATATGGGAAATTGTGGGCCTTCTCAAAACAGCCCTACATTGACTCACTTTCTGAACAGGGATGATTACCACAATGGGCTCAAACGTAGCAGTTGTGAAGATGTAATGGATCAAGCAGTGTTTCGTTCTGTTGTACATAGGGTCGCTGTGGGAACTGACTCTTAGGAACTTATAGCAACAACGTGTTCGTGTTCTCTAGAGAATTAAAAAAACAGTATTTTGTGTGTGTGTGTGTGTGTGTGTGTGTTTACACACACACAGGTTTATACAATGAAAAGGAATCTAATAATTAGTCCACACAAAAGTACAGAAAACTCAGTTCAACTCACTCTCCTGGAACAGTTAATAGACTGAAATCCTTCCATTTGAATGGGCCTTTGAATGCAGACTTGAGTGTCTTCACTCAGGCAAGGCAGCAGACA